AAAAAAAAAAAAAAAAAAGCCGCGACCGCGAGCTGCGGCGGCAATTTGGCGGTAGGTCATTTGCTCTGAGCGGGAGTGAGGGACCCTCCGCCGAATTGCCGCCGAACAGCTGGACGTGCCGCCCCTCTCCGGAGTGGCCGCCCCAAGCATCTGCTTGGTAAGCTGGTGCCTGGAGCCGGCCCTGCCAAGGGGACTTGATGAGAGCTAGGCGGATCTCCTGGGATCTGGCTGGGGAGGCAGTGGGATAAGTTGGGGCCTGTCTGGGATCCTGGTGGGATGATTTGGGGCTCTGGTGAGGATCCGATGAGATCACTCAGGATCTGGCTGAGACCTCCCTCTATGACGCTGTCGGCCTCTTGTGAGGTCATGGCTGGCCTCTGAGGTCAGTTTTCCTCTCTCCCATCCGGGGCTCCCAGGCACGGCGCAGGTGCATGGGGATGGGGAGTGGTGCCTCCCTGGAGCCAATCTCTGCACCAGGGGGAGCCAGCAGCCGGTGCGAGGCTGGGGAGAAACGGGGGCTCTTTGGGTGCTGCGGGCCCGGCGGCTGTGCAGTGAGTGACAGCACAGGGAAGGGTGGATGGACACACACTGGCCTGGCACGAGACATCTGGGCCCTGGTACTTCGTGTCCCTTCCCGTCTCACTTTCTGTGCACCGATGTTTGGGGGGCTCCCCCGAGCTTGGGGCCCTGTTACAATTGCCCCCCAATCAGCTCTGTGTGTGCACACGCGTACACTCTGCCTCCCCTGTGCAATACGTGTACAATGCACAGCACGCGCTAGACGCTCACTGACACACACTGGCTGGGAAAACGGCTTCCATCCAGGGAGCGTTTTCAAGACAGACCGACTCTCCCATCGCCAATCCCCACAAAGCACTTGCTGATTGCCTGTTCTGTTCATTCGCTCTGGGGCACCTGGCAGTGGCCACTGTCGGGAGACAGATACTGGGCTAGATGGACCTTTGGTCTGACCCAGTAGGGCCGTTCTTATGTTCTCTGACTTCTCCTTGATGCACCCTGCTAAGACCCAGCCTCTCCTGTTCCCTTCCAGACCCCGCTGCCCCCCAGGTCAGCAACGCCCCCTAGCGCCAGAGACCTGAGTTCCCCGTGGCCCGGCTTTGCCACGCCGTCTCCCCAGGCCGGGAGGGGCTGGAAGGAGAATTTCCACTACCGGGACCGGTGCCTGTCTCTCGCCGTGCTGCAGTGGGTGGAGGCGTCGCTGGCGGAGCTGGGCTGGGAGGTCTCCCAGCGGGGGGATCCGGGCCAGGCGGCCCCGGGGCAGCTGTGGAAGTGGCTGAGGAGGGAGTGAGGGGTAGGCTGAGAATAAAGAGCAGGATATGAAGTGGATGGCCCTGGAGTGTCTGTCTTGCTGGGAAGGGGCAATTGGAGCAGGGAGGGGGAGTGAGGGAAAGGGGTGGGGGGCTCAGGGGGGCAGGGAGGGTGCCCTGGAATGGGTGGGGAGCAGAGATTTGGGGGGGATAGTGTGGATGTGGGAGGGACAGGAAGTGGACTGGGTGGTAGGAAGTGGGTGGCAGAATGGGGAGGGCAGCTGATTTTGAGGGGGGGCATGTTCTGGAAGCAGTGGGGGATGGATGGGGGAGGGGAGATGAGGGGGTGCTCCAGAAAGGATGGGGGTTGAGTTTGGGCAGCGGGGGACACCTGGAAGTAGGGAGGGAATGGGGCAGTGGGGACCGGGCACAGGGATCTGTGTGGGGGTGGGGACAGTGGGGTGGGGGGAGCAGGGAGGGGAGCAGGGGAGTGGTGGGGGAGCAGAGATCTGTGTGGGGCAGTGGGGAGCAGGAAGGGGAGCTGAGACCCCCTTTGGCCCCTGTGACGT